AGGGCCCGCGCCCAAGCCGTCGAGCCCTGGGCTGCGGCAGTTGGAGGTTTGGGTTTCGGGGTATAACCGCTAGGATTTAGGGGTTTAGGGTTTAGGGTTTCGGGGTTTAGGGTTTAGGGGTTTAGGGTTATGGGGTTTAGGGTTCAGTGGTTTAGGGCTGTAGGGTTTAGGGCAGAGAGCTCCACGCACCTCTACTTTCGTTTTCAAGGAAATCTTGAACCACTCCCCCAAGCCGTAAACCCTTGGCAAACCTTTAACCTATAAACCCTAAAATCCCGGAAAAAAAAACCCTAAAACCCGTAGGACCCCTTAGCCCCTAAAAAAGAAAACGAAGCGAGAGTATTTCAAATCTAGAGACGACGGCCTCTCAAGAGGAGCTCAAGACAGCTCTCCATAGAGTACAGATAGATTCGCACGTAGCACGGCAGCCTACACCCTTTGAGGGTTAGGTTTGGGGGTTGAAGATTTAAGGTTTTGGGGCCAGAAAAACACACACCCAAGACCCAACACCCAACACAGCCTGCCATTGTCAAGGCGATCCCAAATCGTCATGACTGCCAACTCGGCCATGTCTGACAGTTGATCGCTCACACACGACCACTGTCCTTTCCTGTCAGGGAGAGAAAAAGGACAAGAGATGTGTAGAGTGCAGAGTGTAAAACGTATGCCTATGCACGGCTTAGCTTCTTTCTCTGACGGATTTGTGGATTCGGTGCACAAGACCATCAACAAGTTGAATGCTTATTCGACCGGGCTAAGCTGCCAGTGGGAAGGACGATCGCCACAACGTCGGGTCGCTTGTGATGCTTTACAGCGCAGCTGGTGATAGAAGAGGTAAATCTAAAGCTTTCTACTGCTGGTGGTGGCGGCGATGCTATTGGTGATGGAGATGATGGACATGACGACAACGGAAACGACGCATATGGTGATCAAGAAGATGTGGATACTTACCTAAACAGGAGCCCAGAGAATCTTCAACTTCCGTATACTGACCTCTAAAGCCTATACCATAGGCCCAAACCCTATAATTACCTGACCCCTCCCCCCGCCCCCACCACCACAAGAACAAAAATGCAAAACTCAACCAGGGCATCCAAAAAATCAAATCACTCCCAGCTGCCTGACTTGAAAGGATTCCCGCAGCAGGTCGCAAGCAAAACGCTGCACTTTGTCGGGAACTGGCACCTCCAAAATTGCAAGCACCGGAGTCTTAGTTAGGGCTTAGGGCTTAGGGTTTAGGGGTTTAGGGCTTAGGGCTAAGGGTTTAGGGGTTTACGGGCCCCCAAACCCCTAAACCCCCCAAACCCCTAAACCCTAAACCCCCAAAACCCCCAAACCCCTAAACCCTAAACCCTAAACCCTGAAAATCCTAAACCCTAAACCCTAAACCCTAAACCCTAAACCCTGAAAACCCTAAACCCTAAACCGTCTGAACTCAAAAACCCTCTGCAAACTGACTGCTGATGCTCCGAAAGCCCCAAAAAAACCAAGGA